TTTCTCTCTGTCAAATAAGTAAATAAAAAATCTAAAAAAAAAAAAAAATACTTAAGAAAAATAATCTCTATGCCCAATGTGGGGCTCGAACCTACAACCCCAAGATCAAGGGTCACACGCTCCACTGATTAAGATAGCCAGGCACCCTTCAAAACCATTTTAAATAGCTGCAGAGCATTCATCACAGCCCATGATACTAGTATTAGACATCTGGGCTTTTATTTTATTTTATTTTTTTATTTTTTTATTTTTTTTAAAGATTTTATTTATTTATTTGACAGAGAGAGATCACAAGTAGACAGAGAGGCAGGCAGAGAGAGAGAGAGAGAAGCAGGCTCCATGCTGAGCAGTGAGCCCGATGCGGGACTCAATCCCAGGACCCCGAGATCATGACCTGAGCCGAAGGCAGCGGCTTAACCCACTGAGCCACCCAGGCGCCCAGGGCTTTTATTTTTTAATTTTTATTATGTTTTTTAAATTTTTAAAAAATATGTTTTTTATTTGTTAGAGAGAGAGAGAGAGTGCACATAAGCAGGGGAAGAGGCAGGAAGAGGAAGCAGCAGGCTCCCCGCTGAGCAGGGAACCCAATGTGGGACTTGATCCCAGAACCCTGGGATCATGACCTGAGCCGAGGGCAGATGCTTAACTCACTGAGCCATCCAGGGGTCCCCAGACATTTGGGTTTTTAAAAAACTTTTTGGCAACTAAAGTGTAGAACAGTATCTACAGCACTCTATACTTTGAATAAGAAAGGAAGGTAAGTAAGAAAACATACACGTATCTGCTCATTTGTGTGAAAATAAACGTAGGATAAATCAACTAGAGAGGAATGAGATCGGTGATAACAGAGGTGGCTGAGAACTGGCAGGGAAGGATGGAAGGGTGGGAGAAGGGTGCAGTGAGGTGCTCCAGGTACACCCTCTGCAGAGCCCTGACTTTTGGAACCATGCTAATGGGTCACACTTTCAAAGGAAATTAAGTAGGTAAAATCAACAAGAACAGCAGGGAAAGACTCCATAATGAAATATGAACAGAAACAAGCAGAACTATACTTCAAATGACTAGCATAACTACTCGAAGGGAGGGGGGAAGCACTAGGCCATGCAACCGTCAAATGCAGTAGTTTGAAAGATTCATTTATTTAGGAGCACCTGGGTGGCTCAGCCAGTTAAGCACCTGCTTTTGGCTCAGGTCATGATCTCAGGGTCCCTGGGATCGAGTCTCACATCGGGCTCCTTACTCAGCGGGGAGCCTGCTTCTCCCTCTGCCTACCGCTCCCCCTGCGTATGCGCACACGTGCTCTCTCTCTCTCTCTCTCTGTCTGACAAATAAGTAAATAAAATCTATACATAAAAAAGATTTATTTATTTTAGAGAGAGTGCACATGTGTTGGGGGGAGGGGTAGAGGGAAGGGGAGAGAGACTCTTAAGCAGACTCCTGCTGAACACAGAGCCTAATGTAGGTCTGAGTGCATAACCCTGAGATCATGACCTGAACTGAAACCAAGAGTCAGATGCTTAACCAATTGAGCCACCCAGGTACCCCATGAACACAGCATTTTGACTATAGACCTTTAGGCTAAAGACAGAACTGTAAACCGCACTGATGTCCATTAGTAGGTTTGTTTTTCACGGCGGTACAGATTAGCATTTCTGAAACTCTTTTTCTGGGATTCCAGGATTGAGCAATTTAGTAAATATATTGTGCTGCTGCCTTTCTCAGTGTTAGAAAAGAGGAAACATGGAAGATGTTTGGAAATGGAAAAGAAGGAGACTTGAATAATGAACACACCGGTCCTGGATTAGAATCCAAAGTATCAATATAAACTCAATGTTTTTATTTATTTGTTTGTTTATTGAGAGGAGCAGGGAGGGGGAGAGGGAGAGAGAGACTCTTAAGGAAGCTCCATGCCCAGCGCTGATCCCAACATGGGGGTCCAGCTCACGACCCCGTGATCACAACCTGAGCCAAAATCAAGAGTGGGATACTTAACTAACTCAACCACCCAGGCAGCCCTGAACTCACTGTTTTTAATAAAGATTGATCTATAAATAGCTACAGATTTGGGTGTGTGTAAAGATATACAGGTCAGTCGCAATGAACATGTAGTGTTCAGATCTTGGTTTCTAAATATTGTTCTCCACTAGAAGGAATAAGGCTCCTTTTTTTTTTTAACAAAAAAAGATTTTATTTATTTAACAGAGATCACAAGCAGGCAGAGAGGCAGTCAGAGAGAGAAAGGGAAGCAGGCTCCCCGCTGAGCAGAGACACCGCCCCCCCCAACAATGCAGGGCTTGATCCCAGGACCCTGAGATCATGACCTGAGCCGAAGGCAGAGGCTTAACCCACTGAACCACCCAGGCACCCCAGGAATAAGGCTCCTCAAAGAAATGGCTATTCCAGGGCAGACGTGGGAAAGTAAAAAATGAACATGGAACATTTTGTTTTGCTTGAAATTAAAGAAAGTGCTCAAGACATGATGGAAACATGTCAGAAGGACCAGTAGCCAATTTGGAGGAGCGGCCAATGGCCATCAAAGTAGCAAGCATCAAGATAAGTGACTACAACAATTTATAACTCATTGAATAAAATAAGAATGTATGAGGGGCACCTGGGTGGCTCAATCAGTTAAGTGTCTGCCTTCAGCTCAGGTCCTGATCTCCCTGCTCAGGGGGGAGTCTGCTTCTCCTAATCCCTCTACTCCTTACCCCTGCTTGTATTCTTTCTCTCTCTCTCTCTCTCTCTCTCTCTCTCTCAAATAAATAAATAAATAAATAAACTCTTAAAAAAATTGTGAATCCATACTGATATAAACAAACACATAAGTAAAAAGGGAAAAGGAAAAGCTTTCTTAGATATAATGCCATCAATTAATGTAGAACAAATGATGGAATTAGACAATCTCAATTTGATGGCTATCATGGTAATAGCTAATTTTGTAAGGAAGGATCTGGTGAGGAATTATCAATGGAAGCTTAACGCAGTGTGTGCAAGTTAGATGAGCAACTGGACACCTGCACAGTGCCGAAGTTTCCCCTCGAAGAAACTTACTAAGAAGCATCAGACACCATCTGAAGCACATGCTCAAAGCTTACAACACCGGTAATGGGACAAGTCCATATTGTGAGGACATATCACTTCTGTGGCAATGCTACCACAAATGTATGACTTGAATCTAATCATGAGGAAATGGCATAGAAACCTGAATTGAGGGGCATTCTACAAAGTCAGTGGTTTGTACTCTTCAAAAATACCAAGGTCAGGGGTGCCTGGGTGGCTCACTGGATTAAAGCCTCTGCCTTTGGCTCAGGTCATGATCTCTGGGTCCTGGGATCGAGCCCCATGTTGGGCTCTCTGCTCAGCAGGAAGCCTGCTTCCCCAACTCTCTCTGCCTGCCTCTCTGCCTACTTGTGATCTCTCTGTCAAATAAATAAATAAAACCTTTAAAAAAAAATCAAGGTCATAAAAGACAAAGAAAGATAGAGAACCTGTTCTAGATTTAAAGACATGACAACAAAATTAGGCAGTGATCCTGCATCATAAACACAAAACAATGTAATTTTTCCCCCTTTTGCTGAAAGGGACATTCTTGGGAAAATAGACCAAATCTGGAAAAGGACTGTTGATTAGATGATAATACTGTAACCATGCTAATTTGATTTTGTTAACCGTATAACTTATGGTTCTATGGGAAAATGTCACCATTTTTTGAAAGTACACACTGAAGTCCAAAGTATTTAGGGGCAAAGAGGCACCATGCCTGCAATTTACTCTCAAAATTGTATTTGGGTGTGGGTGTGTGTGTGTGAGAGAGAGAGAGTGAGTGAGTGCAGGGGGAGAGGAAGAGAAGGTTAAAATGAATGGTAGCAAAACAGTAACATTTGGGGAATCTTGGTGAAGGGGATATGAAAGTCCTTATACTACTCTTCAGCTTTAACTTTTCTAGAAGTCTGGCATTCTTTCATCACGCACACACATACACACCTCTGACACCAAAGGTAATGCACTGAATATCCTTGATCATAAATAATCTTTGTTTCCCTAGGAAATATTGATGTACCTGGCACAGAAAGGTTTCTGAATACTTATAAATGCGGAGGAGCAAGGCATTGGAAAAGGAGGACGAAAGAGGGTCCACCCCAGGGCTGCAGGTAGGGTGCAGAGCGGCAACTATGGGTGGTGCTCAGGATGAGCCGGAAGCAGAAGCAAGAGTTGTTAAAGGATCGGCCAATGGGGGCAGGGGGTGGGGTGAGAACCAAAGCTGATGACATCTGGGATGCTTTTCAGAGACATGGTCCTTCTGTGGGTTTATCAACTGCCCAAGGTAATTTGGGATCCTTCCCGCCGTATGCATCCCTCTGGTGCAGGCCAGTTACCACTGATGAGTCACACAGAGACCCGGAGCCTTTCCGGTTAGCACCCAGGAAGCAGCCCCAACTTCTTCACCCAGTCCGTTGTTACATCACCTAGTGGCTTACTCCGTGATGTAAGTAAATAATCTACACTAAACTCTCATTTTAAATGCCCATAATACATTTCATCAAGTATATGTATCAATGGGCTTTTATTAAGTATTTGCTATTTGCTGTTAGGGACTGCACTAAGTGCTTTATGTGGATTATCTCATTTAATCCTCCAATATCCCCATGAAATGGTACTAGTAAATGTCTATTTCACTGATGAGGAAAATTAAGTCTAGAGAGGTAAGTTAAAGTAACACTGACTCTGAAAAAAAAAAAAAAAAAAAAAAAGTAACACTGACTCTGTGTCATAAAGCTTAGACTTAAATCCATAAGTCTGACTCTAGAGTCCCCACTCCAAACCATAATGCTAGGATGGATAAACATTTTAATTAGGAAGAAAAAATGTAATCAACCATAAGTTGAAAACTGGAAGTCAATAAATTGGGAGGTTAGGATGAAAACGACATTATGTGAAATACACATTCCATTTTTCTGTTCTGTAATCCTCCAATTGCTCGCGTGCTAAAGCAAACGTACCTGACAGAAGAGCTGCTGGCTTCCCGCTCCAGGTGTGTTACTGAAGGTGCTGGCAGATTTGGAAGAAGAAACTGGAAGACGATGAGACACGCTGACCGGTACTGGAGTCCTGTTTGGCTGGGTCAGCTGGTCTCCCGTAAAGTTTGATCCTGATGCACCCGACTGAACCGCAGACCCAAGACTAGGATGGGCAGTGCTGGAGGAGCTGACAACAGGGAACCGACTGGGTCCTGACATGCTGGTCACTGAGGGCATGGGGGTGAAGCCAGGTCTTCCTTGGGAGACACTGCTCTGCCCAGGTGACAGGTGTAATACGGTTGGCGATGCCTGCTGCAAGGGCATCTGTCCACCGACGATCTGAGGAGAGGCATGATTGACTATCACGGGGCTTCCAGAGGTGGCAAACGTCTGCCCAGACACCAACTGGACGGCGGCATTCTGGTTATTCAGCATCTGCCCAGAATACGGTTGGTTGGTCCTGAGCATGTTGGAAGAGTTTCTGTTCAACATGACATGCTCTGAGGCCACTTGGCCGGAGATGAGCTGAGAAGGTTGAGTCTGAAGTAGTTGCCCATTTATGGTCTGGACGTGGTGTACCGAGTTGGAACTGACGGAAAGGCTTGTGGGTATGAGGAACTGACTTTGGGGCGTGTGAGGCTGGCCCATGGGAGAATGAATAACGATACTACCCCCAGCGCTGCTCACTGCCTGTGAGGTGACTGGTTTTCTTGTGTTTTGTTGGTTTACAATGTTCACGGACATGTGCGGACCGACGACGGAGCCCTGGGGTGAGCTGGCAGAGGCAAAAGAGATCCCTTGTTGAACGTGGTGCTGCTGTATTCCCAAATTGTTCACATTGTATGTATTCTGCTGACCCATCTGAATAGGCTTTGGCTGGATATTAATTGGAACTTTATTTGAATTTGGTGCAAGACCCCTCTGTATGATGATGTTATGCACAGGTAAAGATGTCTGAAAGTTTGTGCTGTTAAATGGAACGGTGACAGGCTGTGCTACTGGACTGGAACTGGAGTTCCCAAACAACGAGTTGCCGTTAGGAGTCTGTCTGTGGACCAGGAGCCCTCCACTCACGTTTGACGGGGCTTGCTGCCCGCTGCCTTTCAATATGATTTGAGATCCATCTAGGTTATTAATAGTCATCATGGAAGGCTGATTACCAAATGACCCAATTAGCTGTATTTGACCAGAGCCGCTAATCTGGCTGCTGTTAGACAGATGCTGGCTGGGAACACTGATGCCCACGTGTTGCATAAAGCCATGTTGTACACCCACCGTATTGTTTGCAAACGATGCTCCGACAGGCACGTGAGTCACCCCTATAGGCTGCAGCGTCTGACCTGAGTAATTTGAAACATTAGAAGCCTGAGTAAAGGATGCTGATGAAGAAGGATGAAGCTGAGCTTGTGCAAACTGTTGGCTTGAACCTATACTGGCATCCAAATATGCCTCTTCGGCCAATGTCTGTTCAGTGATATTGGCCTCCTGCAAGGATTTCTGAAGAATGTCGAAAGGTTGGTCCTCACTGAGATCGGGAAGAGGAGAAGACTCAAGTTCATCTTCCAGAAACTGAAGGCTACTTGAGAGTGGCAGTCCATCACTGGGCCCTTCTCCAAGCTGGTTGCTTACAGCTTTGAGGGATGACTTAGGATCAGCATTCTAAAAGGAAAAGCAGTGTGTTACCTGGCATATCGAACCTTGGAAAGATATTAAAAAAACAATAATAATAAAAAGCACCTCACTTTTGAACAGGATAAAGCCTAACAGTCTGCTTTTCAGGCACAAACTCTCCAAAGTGCTTAGCTTATTCTGATGTTCTCTTTCCTTAATAACATCTAATATTGTTTGTGTTAAGTGTACCCATTCAGTGCTCTGGTAAATTATTTTATAGAAAGTAGATAAGTAACAGGAACATACTGATGACTCCCTGGAGTTCAGCTTCATTTTTTGTGATATTGGGACACACTTGATTTTTCAGGATTGCTCCTAGTCCAGGGCTTGAGTGAGACTCAGCCCAGGCTGTGTGTGTATCCAGGAGATGGCCATGTCTAGTCCTCTGTACGACGGGAGTCCGAGTGAGTTTTGGGCATTCTGGGTATTGTTCTATTAGAGGTCCAGAAGGTAACCCAGAGTTAGCCCTGTCTTTCAAGGCTTCTCAGACCCACCTCCCATGTTCTAACCCCTAACACCCCAAGCAAGACCAGTCCAGACAAAAACAAGCTTCCCACATAAAATGAATAAATGCTTGTTTGATTTCTTAGAAAGAATCAGCCTATTATGATGCTTTCAAGACTACTTTCAGTGTCCTATTTACAAGTAAGAGTCCATCAACAGTTTATTGAGCACCCACTTGTGTGTTAGTTTCTGTCCTCAAGGAGTCCTTAGGAATGGGCATTCTAGCTAGAGACAACACAGCCATATGAAGAAAACTGAACATGATCACAAGTAGGCAGAGAGGCAGGCAGAGGGAGAGGGAGAAGCAGGCTCCCTGCTGAGCAGAGAGCCCGATGTGGGGCTCTATCCCTGGACCCTGGGATCATGACCTGAGCCAAAGGCAGCTGTCCAAGCAACTGAGCCACCCACGTGCCCCAAAATATTTCTACTAAAAAAAAATTCCTACTATACCTTACATCATGATGGAATAGAAATGCCCACTAAATACATACCAAATGAAACAGTCTGAAAAGTTAAATTAATATTCACATGCAAGGGGGAAGGTTGGTAAATAAAAATCATTAATGTTGAGGGGCAGGCTAACTATTTACTTTATGGGCTTAATGGCACTACATGAAGTTATTACTCATTCAGAATGAACTTCAGAAATGCTCCTGGTTTGCAAGCCTTATGGGAGATCGGTATTGTGACTTTAAAACCACCCCTAGCACGTGGAGGTGTCTCACGTGATATGATCCGACCTAACTCACACACATTCAAATACTTGAAAGAAAGGTGCACTCCCAAGGACTTTCCAAATACTATTCCATGTTATAGATGAAGAAAATAAAAGTCCCTGCTGATAAGTTGACATTTATTGAGCACTGTACCAAGTAATTTCCACCGACTAGTCAATTAATGTTAACCAACCTAGGAAGTAGTTCTATTATTCTCCTGGTTTCATAAATAAGGAAACTGAACCTTACAGAGATGTAGTGCTAGATCCAAGGTTACATGGCGAGTAAGTGTTAGAGTGAGGATTCAAACCTGGGCAGTCTGACTCTGGGTTATGACAGAAGTAGGCACTTGAAAAGATGAAAGCAACATAGGCGTAACCATAGTTATTTAGATGTAGTCTGCAAGCTGGACTTCCCTATCCCCCAGAGGTCAGGTTTCTTGTCTAGATGCTCCTAGAGCTTGAGAATATGGGATCCAGAATGGGTGACCTGAGGGAGAGTCCTAGCTCTGCGATGTCTGGCTGTAGACTTTTGAGTAAGTACTAATCTCTCTGTGCTTTAGTTTCCTCATGTATAAAATACAGGTCATAACAGATCGTACTTCACAGAGTTACTGTGTGGATTAATGTGCTTAATCATGCTAAACTCTTGGTGCCAAGAATATGATACGCTCAGTAAGTTTTAGTTATTACCTTTTTTTCTTGCTTAAGATGGAAATGTTTAGTAAGTAACTACAATTAAGAATAATTTCTTTAAAGCTTTGTGATAAGGTCTAAAACATTCTAGTATGACTGTCTTAGGTTATCACATTTTAGAGTCATTTTAGAAAGACAGTTGAAAGCTCGGGAAAATGGCAAAGTAAATCTCATATAGCTTATCTGAATCAACGAAGTTAGAAGGAGACCACGTCAACACCATTCAGCAGGTCCTCCCTCTGTGTCAATTATAAGAGACAAGGTAATAACTTTCATCAGGCTCCAAAGGCAATGAAAGCCTTGGTTCACAAGTCATCAATGAGACAGAAACACTTTACCACTGGATTCAGTTTCTAATACTCACACTGGAGTTGGCGAAAATTGAATTTGAATTGGCTGCAGAATATCCTGCATTAGTCAAGTCATCATTGCTCTGCAAAGGTACAAATTTGATAAAGTGATTATTTTAATTGTAAAGAAGACCCAAAATTTATATCTCCAACATTCTAAGTATTACTTACAGATTTATTACTAGGTCCATGTAGAAAATAGTTCAATGCTTGTGGGTCTCTGGAAAACAGCAAAAAGAAAGGAAAACAGCAAATAAATATGTAACCTATATTTGGGATTGATTTTCACTAGGGTAAAAAGAAAATGACATATTAGCCTGAGTAACATTCTCTCCCTATTTTTAAACAATTTTATTAATAGTTTTTTATTTTATTATTGATTTTTTTAAAAAAGATTTTAATTATTTGACAGAGAGATAGAGAGAGAGCACAAGTAAGCAGGCAGAAGAAGAGAGAGAAGCAGGCTCTCTGCTGAGCAGGGAGCCCAATGCGGGGCTTGATCCCAGGACCCTGGAATCATGACCCGAGCCGAAGGCAGCCACCCAACCAACTAAGCCACCTAGGCGCCCCTTATTATTGATTTCTTAATGTTGTTCCATTTCCTATTATCATTCATATCTGCCTCCTGGGATTTGTTAGAGGGTAAATTTAATAAAGGATGGCCCAATTATGAACCCTGTAGTATCCAAATATTTTGTCTTTTTCTTTGCTAATCAGTATTCTATGCTGATTTTCATTTTAAAAACCCACCCAGGGTTGTTTTTTTGTTTTTTTTTTTTAATTTTAAATAATCTCTACTCCCAACATGGGGATTGAATTTAAGACCCCGAGATCGAGAGTCACATGCTCCACCGACTGAGCCAGCCAGGCACCCCAAAAACCCACCCAGTTTTTAATATGCTTATTAGGTTGTTTTAGTACAGTGAACCTCACACATTTGATTTACCCTGATTTTGGAACAAGTGTCTTACCCGATAAGATCAAGGAGACACGAGTCATCATCATCATCCATGACAACTGTAAGAAAAGGAATAAAGTGCTGGTTAGCCAAGCAGATTAAAGCCAAGAGCATCAGTACAACATAAAAATACACTCTTTATTTTCCTAGGTAAAGTAACTGTGTAATTTGTGTACTTTTTTTCCCTCTAATTGCTTGTTTTTAATGGCATTTTTAAAATTTTGTGGTCTTTAAGACACTGAATATTCAATTTAAGTTGTTCTTATTGAATGCAAATCCTTAACTAACAAGTCAAAAAGGAATCTAGATAAATCCAAGATAATTGGCAGCAACCCTTCCCACACAGATTCCCAAAGGGACTGTAAACCAGGAACAGCAACTTCCTCAAAATCTACCATGAAAATGGGGGAGAAATAGTATTTCTGTTTTAGAAAAAAAAATCTTATGTATTCAGAGGCCTTGTGCGTTTTATGACTGACTGTTTCCAAACATGGTGAGCAATCTGGATTTCTTGCCATATTTTGGCTCTCTTTACAAAAACAGAAAAAGCCAGTTCTCCCTACTTTTGGAGACAGAGGAGACACCACAGCCCCAAGCAGTCCTGCCTCAGGCTTGGCCCCAGAGGTCCCATATTTCTCCCCAGGCAGCAGCACCGCCAACTGTTTGATTCCAAACAATCTATATGCCATCGGTAGAATCTTTAAAGTAGAAAATCTCAACCCCCAACTCCCCCCAGCTCCGAGCCCCAAGCTCCTTCTCTCCCCAGCCGCCGACAGCATCAAGCTCAGCCAGCGAGATTACTGTGCTCCGGCTGAAACAGTAACAACTGGACAAGTTCCAAGAGCAGTTCTCCCCCTTTCTCCTCCCTCCCCCGAGATCCGGTAAACTTACACTAGTGATCCGACACCTGGCAACACTGCTTCGCACCCATTTCGAGCCATGCGTGGAATAATTTACATCACGGAATGCCGGGGCCAAGAGTTCTGGAGCAGTTGGAAAGGGCAGTTGTGAACGGCAGTTGGACGCAGGAATGAAATCCTGAAGAGATGCCCAGAAGAGGGACACGCCCGAAGAAGGCAGAAGGGATAATTTCTACTCAATGTTTTTTCTTGGTTAAAACCAAGATCTCCTCTCCAGTTCCCCCAAACTCCTCATCCTATCAGTCACAAGGCCAAACAAGTATAAAACTGGCTCCTGCCACATGGAAGGAAACTTGCTTCCTCCAGGAAGGGTCTGGAAGGGGTAAGTATCCCCCAATGTAAGACCTTCCTGTTGGGGGGAGGGGGGTGAATTCGTTCAGCTGCTGAATGGCCTGGGGTGATCAGAAGTGGAACTCTGGTGGATGACCAGTGAGACAGGAGGAAGAAGAGGGGAAAGCTGATCCAAGGCTAAAGCTGTGAAAGCAGGCCGGGTGAAATCCGCTTTGAGGACTCAGGAGTTACAAAGGAACATGCTAGCGCGACCATACTTCTGAGGAGTGAAAATGTCACAGGAAGGAAAAGCAAGGGAACTTATCATTAAATAGATACATGGAAATCTGTAGGAAGGGCTTCTCTTAGATCCTGATACTGAGTATGGCAGAACTACATCAGCCACAGCTCATAACTGTGCCACAAGCTTGTCTCCCAGATACCATAATCACATGGAATAAATTGGGCAATTTTGACATATCATTAAGCCTATAAAGTGGATATTATTTCTTTACTTTGATATGACTTTTTAAATGGAGTTCCACTATATCCTTTGTAAATTATTTTTTATAGTGTTTAACAGTTTCTGGAACAAACTTAGGAAAACACTGTAAGTGAAAACTAGCCTGTACCCAAACCACCTTTCCCAACTATCCCCGCTTCCCTCTCTATTTTATATCTGTACGAGTTCCTCTAGCAGAGGAGACACCTAAGGGTTAACTCGTTGAGAAAGGAAGTCAGCACCAGTCACCTCTACCAAGGCGTCACCTCCACTGGGACTTTCAAGCCCAGAAAACATTGGCCAACGTTCGAAGTGACAAGCTACTCCTTGAGTAGCACAAGTAAGAGATCAATTTTATAATACTGGATGAAATAAACAGCCATTGTGGACCCTCCCCTATCAAACCCAACGGACTGCTAAAAAGGTTGACAGAACGCTCCCCGGGGATATCTGTCCCAGTCAGTGGCATATGTCCTACCAGACAGGCCTCTGACTCTAACCCCCTTTGGGTAGAATTCCAGGAGCCTTTATAGTCAGGGGTACCCTGGGAATTCTACTTTTTAAAGGGCCATACTCTTTTCTGACTTTAAACAGTTTCAAAGAGATGACTCCCATTCCTATGTCCCCAGCTCTATGTACGGCCAAAACACAATCATCCTCCACCTAACCCAGCAGGTCTTTTCCCCAGGAGGACACACGGTCCACCAAAGTCAATTCCCCAAAGGAGAGGTGTAGAAATTAACAATTCGGAAGTGGGAAGACAACCTGAGGACCAGAAACTGACTTCAAAAATGAAGAGTTTAGGGGCGCCTGGGTGGCTCAGTTGGTTAAGCAACTGCCTTCGGCTCAGGTCATGATCCTGGAGTCCTGGGATCGAGTCCCACACCAGGCTCCCTGCTCAGCAGGAAGTCTGCTTCTCCTGCTGACCTCTCTCCTCTCATCTCTCTCTCTTTCACTGTCTCTCTCTACCTCTCAAATAAATAAATGAAATAAAAAAAAAATGAAGAGTTTAGTTCTCTTTGGAAAGGTTCTCCCTTTCCTTGCTGACTCTTCTCTCCTGAAAGTAACAACCCTGGAATCACTAAGTGGCCTCTGGCCTCAAGTGAAGTTTATAACATGGGAAAGAGGAGGCTCCCTCTTAGGGAAAACCTCTAGATCAATGGTTAAAAACTACTACTTAGCCCAGCACACACTCAGTAACAGCAGCTCACAACAGGAGGATTTGTCAGCAGGAAGGAGACTGTAGTTCTTACAGAATCCTGACAGGCATCACAAGAGGTCAGAAATCACTACCCCAGACACCTGATTACCACTCCCCCCCCCCCCGCTTTTTTTTTAAGTAGGCTCTATGCCCAACATGGGGCCTGAACTCATGACTCTGAGATCAAGACCTGAGCCAAGATCAAGAGTTGGACGCTTAACCAACTGAGTCACCCTGGTGCCCTCTGATTACCACTCCTAAAAAAAAATTGAAGCTATTAAAATTGTCCTTATGCAAGTCAACACTTTGAATAATAGCTTCTAATCAAGAGGACACAGCATAAAAGTGACATTTTTAATCAGTTTTTAAATTTTTAAATCAGTGGGGGAAAGATGTTAGCTGTATGGAGAAAAGATGGTGGATCTGTACTTTACTAAAAAAATCCAATACTCCCAATTCATATCACAAAGGGCATTTCTTCCTAAATACATAAAGAGCTCCTATAACCAAGAAAAATAGTTACCCTGCAGAAAATCAAAGGGTATGAACAGTCAGTTCATTAAAAAAGGAAAGCAGCCCTGGGGCGCCTGGGTGGTTCAATGGGTTAAAGCCTCTGCCTCGGGCTCAGGTCATGATTTCAGGGTCCTGGGATTGAGCCCTGCATTGGGGAGCCTGCTTCCTCCTCTCTCCCTGCCTGCCTCTCTGCCTACTTGTGACCTCTGTCTGTCAAATAAATAAATAAAATCTTAAAAAAAAAAAAAAAAAAAGGAAAGCAGCCCTTAAACATATAAAAAGAATCAACCTCACTTTGAATAAGAGAAATAGGAATTTAAAATTTCAGTGAGATCTTAGTATTTATCAGACTGGCAAAGATAAAAAGGTTTTTTGGACTATGCCGATCTGTAAGTGGGGAAATGGGAACTTTTATACCTTGCTATCGAGAGTGTAAACTCCATAACCTTTGGGGAGGCCAATTTAGCAGTATCTTTCAAAATTTTAGGTGCACAAATCACTCTACTTAGTGAATATTTCCAGGTACTTGTCCTACAGATACTCTTGCACATGTATGAAAACATATGTGTATCAGAGTATCTAGGGCAGCATTACTGCTTTTAGCGAAAGACTGTAAAAAACGTAGATGTCATGGGTACAGGGTTTCTTTTTGGGGATAATGAAAATATTCTGGGATTAAATCACTGAACTGTACACTTTAAAAGGGTATTTTATGGTATATAAATTGTAACATGATTTAAAATATTAAGAAAAAAACCCAGATGTCCTGAATGAGAGACTTACATTAAATCAGTTTGGTTTACACACATAGTGGAATACTACCTAGCCATTAAAAACAATGGAGAAGCTTTATACAAACTACTTCGAAAGATACATGGTCAAAGCAAAAAGGTATAGGAGTGCCTAGGTGGCTCAGTCGGTTAAGCGTCTGCCTTCCCCTTAGGTCATAATGCCAGGGTCCTAGGATCAAGTGCCACATTGGGCTCCCTGCTCAGTGGAGAGGCTGCTGCTCCCTCTCCCTCTGTGTCTCCTCCCCATTTGTGTTCTCTCTCTCAAAACAAAACAAAACACACACACACAAAAAAAAACCTTTAAAAAAATAAAAATAAAGTTAAAAAAAGGAAAAAGGTACAGAAGAGTGTGTATACTACAGTATGTCCAATCTTTACATTCTTGAACTTAAGAAAAATAGCAATAAATTTTTAATATCCTTCTCCACCAATTCTATCATTTGTATCATGTTTGGGTCTGTTTTATTGATTTTTTTTCTCTTCATTACTGGTGGTATTTCCCTGCTGCTTTGCATACCTGATAAATTTTTATTGGATGCCAGACATTGTTAATTTTATATTATTGAGTACTGGATATTTCTGTATCCCTATGGATACTTTATAATTTTGTCTAGGACACAATTAAGTTACTTTTTTTTTTTAAGATTTATGTATTTATTTTAGAGAGAGAGTGGGGGGAGGGGCAGAGGGAGTAGGAGAGAGAGAATCCCAAGCCGACTCCACACCCAGTGCAGAGCCTGACGTGGGGCTCGATACCATGACCCTGAGATCATGACCTGAGCCGACACCAAGAGTTGGATGCTTAAACCACTGAGCCACCCAGGTGCCTCAATTAAGTTACTTATAAATCATCTGATCCTCTTGAGGCTTGCTTTCAAGTTTTGTCAATCTTTAGGGGAATTCTGCCCTATCCTGAGGCAATACTCTTCACTTGTTGAGGAAGTCACTTGATGTCTCAGGAATTACAAGGATTTTTGCACTCTCACAGGTAGGAACACAAACCATTTTCAGCCCTGGTTAAATACTGTTTGATAAATCAAACTTCTTTAAGGGGTGCCTGGGTAGCTCAGTCCCGCCTTCTGCTTGGACTGTGGTCTTGGGGTCCTGGGCTGCCAAGCCCCACATGGGCCTCCCGGCACCCTGCTCAGTGGATAGTCTGCTTCTCCCTCTGGCTCTGTCCTTCCCCGACCCCCCTCTCGTCCCTTCTCTCTCTCTCAAATAAACTGGTGAAGTCTTTAAAAAACAAAACAAAACAAAACAAAACTTCTTTAAGATAAATTCCAACAGAGTGATGATAACCTTAGGTTTATTGACCCTAGAATCATTAACCATACAAAGCAATGTTTCTCAAACTCACATCTGAGAATATAATCTTGGGTGTTCTGAGTTCCTAGGTTTGAGAAAAATTAACAGATTCTTGAGTCATCTGGAAATATACACACTGAAAAACTCGAGGCCTCATAAAAATTGTGCTCCGAGTGTTGTTCCCTTTAATCCTTTTGGGTGGTTCTCTCCCAGGAGTTGGGTCTCTCCCCCACACCCCATGTATTGACCAGTCATCAGCTAAGGAGTCAGGGGTTTTCTCTCTGGGCAGCGCTCTCCTCTCTGGTATTCTGCCATGTGTTTTAGCTATTTTCACCTACCAACCACATCAGCTCAACCCTGGAAGATGATCAGACTCCATCTAGCATCCCATCCCCTATGCTGTGGTCTGGCAACTCTCCCCAGACAGTATTATAAATAGGGCTCATCTCATCCATTTGCCATTTCTCAGGAGTCCCTGTCCATGCTTCCTGATTTCCCATGTCTCAAAGCCACTGTTTAATATGTTTTATCCTATTTTTAACCTTTTTTTTTTTTTTAATGCAGGAAGGTAAATCCAGTCCCCATTCCTTCATCTTGGCCCTACAGTCATATTTAAGGTTTTGGAAAAAAAAAGCACTTTAGGCGGTAATAGCCGTTTATATGAGTTAATTGGCATGAATTGTAAGATCAGAGTATACTGAAAGGGGGGGGAAACAGAGTACAGTTATAACCCATACCTCCTTTTGTTTTCTACCCTGAAGAATAGCTTAGGGAGAGAGGAAAGGTACTTCTTTAATTCCAATCTTTACTAAAGTTGGTCAGTGGATGAAAACAGTATTCATTACTCATTTAGTAAACATTTAGCCCCTACTCTGTGCCAGGTACAGAATGTTAAGGCTGAGAATGTCAAATGAGCGTGACATAAAATGTAATAATAAATGTAAACACGCTTAATATTTTTGTAGGACTGCAAAAGCAATGCTGAAAAGTAAATTATCGTGTTTTAGCGAATGATTTTCCGAGAGTGTCATGACCAAAGAGCTATGCCATAGAATAGCCAGTTACCAGGTTACCAAGATATAAAGTATTCTCACCTTACTCCTTTTGCTCTACTGTAATTGTAATGGGCTCTTAAATTTTAAAATTGCAAGACAGTGTGAAACCTTCTGGCATGGTTCCTGACTTTAAGTTACTCACTTTCTTCTGGAAGGGAGACATTCAATAGT